AGAGAGAGAGAGAGAGAGAGAGAGAGAGAGAGAGAGAGAGAGAGAGAGAGAGAGAGAGAGATGTGTTTGAATCATACTTGCGGCGCATCTCATGCAGGGGGGTGCCGCACGCACAAGCACGCACGCACGAGTGATGCGATGCATTAAAAAAGTAGAAAAATAAAAACGTCCTAGTTGTGTCCAGCCTCTACATCATATTAGCTAGGACCCGACGTCATGCAGATATACACTTCAAACTTGTACTCTGTGAGGGTGGGGGATCTCGGTTATTGGTCACTATTTCTCTGTTTTTCTCGCTTTTCTTTTATTTTCTCGTTTTTCTTTTCTTAGGAATATGTGCAGTGACCCTAAGGGCCTCTACCCATCAAATGCACAAAAGACAAAACATATGGTGGGCCTGGTGGCGTATTATTCCACGTTCTGCAGAAGATTCATTCTAATTTTGCACATTTCGTGAGTAGTGCAGCCAAGCCCTAAGAGTCATGTGCAGAGACCAACAGGGCCTAGCTACGTGAGCAACCCATAACTGCTGAAACACAGACCTGAATTCGAATCTTGAGTATATATTCGGCCAGCTCGTCCTCTACTTCATATTCACTGCCTGCCTTGATTTTGGTGGGGGGGTCTGCGCTACATGGCTGCGAGCACCCTTCAGATAGCCTGCATGGGCCGTCTGAGCCGTGTTAAGGGGATCCGTTCTCTCTCTCTCTCTCTCTCTCTCTCTCTCTCTCTCTCTCTCTCTCTCTCTCTCTCTCTCTCTCTCTCTGGACATTGAGTCACTTCAGGAGTGCTGGCTCCAAGAAGACAAAAGTGCTGACGATAATTGGCACGTTTCACAGAATGGTAGCCAACACGTATGATGCCGCAGATCTAACCGCGGTAATAAAGCTGTTTTGTAGGGAACTCAGACTAATGAACTACCCATGGAGAATCACCCGCACGGCGATTTGGGCTTTCATCAACTGCAAGGACACAAAAGTACGGAATATATTCCGTAAGTATCTGGAAGCAGAAGAAGCACCAAACAGGAACTGATATATAAATCCAAAGAGAAAAGGTAAATAAAATAAAATAAAATAAAATAAAATAAAATAAAATAAAATAAAATAAAATAAAATAAAAAGTAGAAAACGCGCAAGCTACAAGAACACCTAAAAATTACACTAACGAACGGAAAATCTACAGATATAATGATGCAAGAACGGCCGTATGGATTTCCTAACATAAGCTTAGAAATGAATCGAATCAAAATCCACAAGATGTACACGGGAGAAACAAGCGACAAGACGATGAAAGTACTCACCTGAGAAGATAATGACGAAACCCACGGCCGCACGTAAAACAAAAAACAAAAGCAACAAACAAAGCCAAGACGCGAGTCAGTAATCCACGACAGATATAAACGCAAAAAACTTCGACGGTAATATGGCCATAGGGATAGCCTCTGAATGTACGAGTACGGAATTCCAGAAAACAGACATTAGCACAAAAGCGGACATAGGGACGTAACGTTATATACAGCAAGTCGACGACAACGGGAAATCTACGATGAAATGTGCAGTACAGAGCAAGACTACGGGAGACACAGAGGAAACGATGCTGAGGATGCTGCAGGGCATGTGGACAAGTAGGTGGGAGGAGAAGGAGAATAGGGTATAAATTCAAAGACAGTGGCTGAAAAGATTACCTGAGCAGTGAGGTAGAAGGGTAATCGCGACAGTTGTCACATGCCATGGACAGGACGTGTATGCTGCGATAGTAAACCTCGCACGTGTTGTCTATTATTGCAAGTGTCTCTCTCTCTCTCTCTCTCTCTCTCTCTCTCTCTCTCTCTCTCTCTCTCTCTCTCTCTCTCTCTCCCCTTGTATACACACACACCCCTTACAAAAAAAAAGAAAAAGAAAAAGCGCATGTGCGCCACATCGCAAACACCCCCCCACCCAGACCAACTACCCCACCCGCCCCCCAAACCCGAAATTTTATTGCAGATTCGGGGTCCTCTCGCCGAGCGCAGAACGACCCCGGTTTCAAAAAATACAGCCACAAATGTCTGCCTACAGGCTTATCAGCGTCAATGTTACACTGCATCTCAATTTGGTACGATTGCTTATCAGCTTGACGCTGTTGAAAATCAGTTGCTATACATAATAGTCCACCTCCTGAAGGAAGGGAGTAACTATACTCTACCTCATCAGGAGGCTTTACTGTGAATGTCTTACAGTTAGCGTTCCACGGCCGCCACCTTCTTATGCATCATGCGACGCCAGGCGATGACCTCAATAACCATCCTCATATTTCTGCCTGTATTTTACACAGACCCGGGCATTATATGGCACTCGTTCGTGCAGCTGCCCAGTGGGAACTGTGGGACGGTGGGACGATGAGTCGGGCTATTTTCGATGTAAATGAATTTTTGCGTGCATTGTCGAATCATACTTTATTTTGGATTATTGACCGACTCTCGTGTGACACCTGTCGGGACAGAGACGCGGTGCGCCTTGGCTGTGGAATGCATCATCTATGCCATAGCCATTATCAATCTATTGCGACTGCCGCCATCTGTACTGAAGGGTGTCCAACATTTCCTCACTGTACACATCCCTATCACCCAGATATACGTTGTCCCTTTTTCCCCCAAGGACGCTATCAGAACTGCATGATGCCGCACTGTGATGAACGTCCTGCTGTTCTTTTGACATGTGGACAACATGTCCTCTGTCAGGACTGTTTTGATGGGATGGTTCGTGCTAGCCGTCCTGCGGAATGGTGTGCTGGCGCAACTCTCCTTGGGTATCCTTGTGAACATCCACATCATCCTCACCGTAGCTGTCCTATCTGCCGAGGTGGGAACAGTTAAAGAAGAAAAAAAAAGAAAAAAAAAAAAGAAAAAAAGAAAACAAGATAGAAAATAAGGAAAAAGAAAAAATATGTTGATCTCTAGGAAGATTCTCACGCCCGGGCGGGGTCTGACGCCAGGGGTAACCGAGCGTGCAAAATAAATAAATAAATAATTTATTTATTTATTTTAATTATTTATTTATTTTGGTTTTCTGCGCGCTCCCAGAGGACTCCAAATCCGGGCTCCTTTCGTTTTTTGCAAGTTGGCTGTCAAGGGGGGGGGAGGGGGGTATAATGTTTTTTTTAAGGGGCTAAAGGGGACTAAAGGGGGGTGCCTTTGTGTGATTCTGTTATTTTCTTTTTTATATCCGATTCTGTGAGGAATTATAATGTGACCCTCAGCCAAAAGTTGTTTGTATTTCAATCCTACACAAAATATTTTTTTTCCGGGATTTTTTGAGTTTTTGTTTTTGGCGCTGGGGCTGCCCGGAACCCTGCCCGGTGGTCATGCCCGGCCGGGCACCCGGGCGTGTACCCAGGCAGAAGTTGAGTGCCCGGGCGCCCGGGAAAACAGCCTAGGTTGATCTGTGGGATATGTTATTTGCTTTGTGACTATTGGATTATCTGTGGGAGGTTTCCTCGTCCTTTTCTTTACCTCTTTGCCTTTTGGCTGCGTGCAAGTGGGTCCTTGTGACACACGGGGATGGGGGCAGCCAGCGCTCAACCTGTCATCCACGTGGCTGGCCTTGTACGTAAGCGGTGATGAACAGGTGGGGCTTTCCTTCTTTTCCTTTCCTTCTTTTGCTTTTTTTCCTCTTCGCGCTCTGATTTAGTGTGACAATATATTTCTGGGCGTTTTTTTGGCCCGCCTGGTTTACCCGGGCGGCACCCCCGGGCCTCGCCAGGCCGGGCGGCGTCCTCACTCAGGTTTTTAAACTTTTTTGAAGTTTTTCACTAAATCAGACAGTGATTGAAGTCAACTCCTTGTAAAAAAGTGAAGAAAACAAAAAAAGAGTGCAGGTAACGGAGGCCTAAATTTTTACTTTTCAACTTTTCAGACAGTTTGTCATGCCATTTATGACAAAACCCAGGGAGGAGGTAAAGAACAGGCGTGTCGACCTTTCCTGTAGTTATGAGCAAGGGAGGATGTTACATGCTGATGCCACACGGGTCCCTTTCGGACCCGACCACTAGACTAAGGGGTACTTAGGCCGGCCCAGCAAAAGGCCAGACCTTTCTCCCGGTAGGCCACATCGAGGCACCGGTTGGCCTCCGTGCAGCAGGCCAGGCACAGGCCCAAACGACATGACCGTTGGGCCTGGCAGCGCCCTTGAGGCTGCCGCCGCCGGCCTGGTCTGAACTGTCAAGTTGGACGCGTCAGATCACGGCCTGATCTGAAGCATCGTCTATGTATGGCTTCAGACCCCACCATCTCACGATTGCTTGTGTGTTGAGTGATGTTTGGTGAGTTCAGTCTATGTGACTCAGTCCATTTCTCAGACTTCCGCTGCATACATGTTCATCCTATATTGGTTGATCTTTGGTTCTGCCCATACTCGGTGAAGTATTCACTAGTATGCAACAGAGGATGTGGTCCGTAATATTGGTTAGTATTGGCTCTTTTTTTTTTTTTTTTTTTTTTTTTTTTTTTTTTTTTTTTTTTTTTTTTTTTTTAGCGCGCCCCCGTCAGTGTTAGTGGTGCTGATAAGAGCAGACACCGCTAACGCCTGGGGGGTTAGTATTGGCTCTACGGAGCAGTTGTTGGAGTTCACTGTGCGGGCAATTGGAATTTACTGTGGAAGCGATTGCAATTTACTGTTCGAATGATTGGAAAAAAAAAAAAAAAAAAAAAAAAAAAAGAAGAAGAGCCATTTTATTATTTAATCAGACTTGTCTCCTATTCATAGAGTTGAAACCATACTAACTAATTGCAAAAAGAAGACCGGAAAAAAAAAGAAGATAAAAACTATAAGACAGCAAGGCAAAAGTGCAGTTTCGTCAACTTTCATGCAAATTTTGCCAACGTTCCAATTTCAGAAATCTCTAAAATATTCAGAAACCTCAGCAGGGGAGTTTCCAATGCTCCAAATGAGAACAAAAAGAAGGGAAGTATTTGTACTGCAGTCTGATTTTGGTATGCCGTATAAATATGGGTGCAGTCTTTGTGAGACTAGTACCTGCTCTCAAGACTGTGTGGCCCCAAAAGGATGAAGTACCTCTGTGCGTGTTCCCCGTTTTTGGGGGAGGCAAGCGCGTTGGAATCACACCCAACGTTCAGAATAGGTAACTTTAGCAGTTCCCGAAATGGCGCAAAAAAGGCGACCCAATCTGCAAAGCGCCACTAAGGGTAATGACTGGCACAGTTTTAGACCCCTGCTAAACTTGCACATTTGGAAGCTCACACCATGACACCGGCGCCGCTTTGTCTTTTCTTGCCTATTTTTTCAAACTAAAAGTGTGTCACAGCCACAGTTTCCCCTTCTTTTTTTATATGCAAGGTTGCGGGGGGTGTCGCGGAAAGTTTCAGGCAAGGCAGTCCGTCACGAGCCTGGACACACCGGGTTCAGCCTTCTGATGGCACCGTGACCTCACCCACTCACACAGAGGACTCTGTCAAGATCAGGACACTCAGCCTTACCACGCGCACACACACATGGGGGGTATTGAGTGCGAGTGTGGTGCACCCCCGCTGCCGACGATCAGGGTGCGCTATCGAGTGCGAGGTTGGTGCACATCCGCTGCCGGCGATCAGGGTGCGCCACACTCATACTCAAATTCCGGGGTTCCTTAAGGTGACACGCGGAGAGGCCTGAGGCACCACTGTCGCATGCCACTGAAGGGAGTTGTCGTAGATCTGCTTTGAGCGCGGGGAACCCTGGCCTCCCCCTCCTCCCCGCTTTCCCCCTTTTTTTGCTACTCGGTACCAGGGTGCATATCTTTTCCAAATGATGCTGATGGTACACATTTTTTCACATGGTGCCGTGTTCCCTTGTATTAGATAGCTGTACGATGGCACTGTCAGGGCACATTCACGCTAGGACTGTTTTGACTTCCATCTGCCAGATTCTGGCTTCTGGCTGTATTTTTCGTCTGGTGGTATCCAGAAGGGGCTGCTATGCCCGTCCCACAAACACAACTTACCTTGATCATGGGCCTCGCTGCACTACTCCCCAAATCTGCAAAATTAGAGTGAATCCACCGCTAGAACATGGAAACATACATTGCCGTTTTTTTTCACTTCTGTGAATGCGGAGAGTAGTGCAGTGAGGCCCCATGGACTGGAAATAGCTTGCATCCTGGGGAAGACGGTAGTGCGAGTTCGCTAGCTGCAGTATGCCACCGCAAAGCTGGATCGGAACCCCCCCGGTTCGTCTTTTATGTTTGTTTCCCTTCTGTTCTATGTAGTTGTCTTATACATGTTTTTCTCTTCTTATGCTCTCTAGTTTATTCCTGGTGTTTCCTCCTTTTTTCCTCTAGTTTTATTCCTCTTGTGTTTTTCTCTTCTTTTTTCCTTTCAGTTTTTTTTTTTACTTTTTTCGCTTCGGATTTTTCTTCTAGATGTTCTTTGTAGTTATTTCAACCACCACTACCTGTCACAGGCAAACCCGAAACACCATTTGTGAAAAAACGCATTCATTGGGTGAGCAGTGTTATCAGGCTGAAATGAAGTGTATTTTGTATTTACCATCAGAAGAGTGCAAAATCCGTGCTGCCGCATCAGCAAACCCTGGTGCGCCGTTATTTTCTGCCTCGCCAAAAAGGTGCTCGAAGGTAGTGGTGGTTTAAAGCACCAGTACATGGGCACCTGGGCCGCGGGCCTGACGCCTTGAATTCTGGAGGTGCAAAGCGAAAATGCGACCGCCGATCGAATTTAACAACGGAGGGCCCAGCGTTTGACATTTCGGCTTTGTTTTCTTGTGGCGACAAGTTCTGGACTGCAATGCTGGGGCTGTGTACCAGTACATCCAGCTATCGGCCGCGGGTTCTTTTCGGAGACCGCCCGCCGCCGATTCGGTTTATCTACAGCGCTGGGCCTCCGAGAATTTCGTAGGCGACGAGTTTTCTTTTCAGCAAGGCTGGGGCCCTGTACTGGCGGTTTAAGGCCATTCCTAGCAGCAGCAACAACAACAACGACAACGACAACGACAACGACAACAACAACATACGAACTGATTCGTTTCCTGATTGCTGTCTGTTACGGCGGCACTTATTGATTTTTATGAACTCGCTGCTACCAGCTCGAAAAGCATGCACTCTCTGAATTCACGCCACTCCTCTTTGGTGCTTGCTGCAATTTGGTAAAACATGCAATCAATGAACAACCAGGCAACTGGAGCGGCAGAAGGCCTTCTTCACAGTGTCACTTAACAGCTTTATCACAGTGTCATTATCCTGGCGCAGCCACCATTGTGCCCACCTTGCCTCCGAATTTCTCACCTACTCATTGCACCTTCACCGATACCCTCATTCAATCACACGGGCAAATCCGTGGCGGGCCCCTCCTTTTCTCCTCTTATCCTTCGTGTACATACTCTTTGCGGTTATCGGCATGCAATGCAAAATTTTACTGGAGTCGACCAATAAAAGGTCAAACAATTTTTTTGTGACCGATAAAGGGTCTTCTATATCGAAATAAAAGCAATTAAAATTTCAAATCATGCTCAAGAAACAAGGCAACAAACCAAAAAAAAAAGCATGTCGCATTGTCACATGCATCAATCAAGAAACGGTTCAAAATTTCTGCAGAAAAAAAGGAAATAGTTTGAAGTTTGAGCTGATAAGTATGCGCCTGAAACGGTCCCGGATAAGCCAGTAGCCGAATCGGTTCTCTAGTTGCATTCTCTGCCTTAAGATTGTGTATCAGCATGTTTAAACAACCAGTACTTCCTAAGGTCGTGCCCGTTAACAAGCGACGGTTTTAGGAAATGTACGGGTCACTACAGAAGCGCCCATCCGAGTAGACACGTTTCTACTCTATTTTTTTACTGGGCCAAGTACTGGTGGTTTACAAGAATTCTTTTTTTTCTTTGTTTTCTGATTTTTGATACCGTGTAACCACGTATTAAAATAAAAGGATGTACTCGGCTGACTCATCGTGTGGCATTACCCCTGCTAGTAGCAGGGGTGGAGCGTCCCATATGAAATTTGTACAGGGCTTGGGCACCTGCTACTAGCAGGGCCGAGTGTCCCATATGAAATTTGTACAAAACAACTTGACGTGGCGGGGCCATTACCCCGCTTCGGCTAAGAAATGCTAGAGTACCGTTTTGTTCTCCGGCGAAAAAATTATAGTGCTATGGTGAACTCTCCTGGAGCTTCACATCCTGATGATCCTGTCCTGGTTGTTTTCTTTTTCGCAGGATATACCTCGACTTTCTGACGGTTCTCAGGACTGCTGAATGCAGCCAGCCGTCGCATTTCTACGACAGTGTGGCTGGTTGTCGACTCCTTCGTGTTGCTGTAATAATAAGAGAACTCGATATGTGTTGGTCAGCAGCTGATGCTGAGTCACACTCTTGTTTTCAGTCCTTGCTGCCGATGTCTCAGTCTGTTTGTGCTCCTTCGTAGTAAAGCGGCGGCCCAATCAAATAATGGCCTACAAGATAAGGAGCTTAGCTGGCTGCATGGGCAGATTGTCAGCTGATCAATGCGCCTGAGCAGCGGTCTTGCAGGATACTGCACATGCCATGGGGTGTGCAGCATTAGCTTCACTGGAACCAACTGGAACCAACTGGAACCAACTGGAACCAACTGGAACCAACTGGAACCAACGGGAACCGGAAATAATCTGCGGAGTGCTATGGATGGAGCCAACTGGAACTGGAAGTGACGCCAACAGGTGGTTAGCGAGAACCATAAATAATACTGCCGGGTTCAAAATGCAGGTATCAACAGTCCAGATGTTGTCATCTTGCCTGGCATAAGCAGTGATGTGAAAGTGCGATTCATTTCATGACGATAGGACAAGGCTGGAATACTCTGTGTCTGCTTATGTCAGGAACCTGCTTTATGCCATTAAAGCATGCATGATTTCAAGTGCCATCGATCACAGGATTTCAAGAGGTGCAAATGAAGGGTTATGCCATAAAGCATGCTATTCCCGATGCAAGCAGCGCAAAGGAAGGGACACAATGCAAGCGTAACAGGCCTTGAAAATGGCTGGCTGGCCAATGGGAGATTGCACATCAAAGACGGCAAGACTGATGGGCTGAGAAAGCGAGAGAGAATGACGAATTCACTGTTCAGTGATCCTGGGAGAGCAGTTTGAAAAAGAAGTACTCTCTCATCTGTGCCACTTACATCTTGTTGAAGGCGGAGGGATGGCTATTCGGGACATCGTCAAATGTCCCCAGGCTGTCATGTGGTTAGTGCACAAAAGTTATCACGGAGACAGCACTGATTCTTTGTGGACTCTGCAAGGGTTCGCTTCGCTTCGTTCTCAAGTTCTTGGCTGTTTTTCCATCGGGCTGTTTTGCACTTTAGATGATCCGTGTCATATAACATATGTGCTTTTGCATGCTCTGCTTATGCCTTGTGGAGGAGCTCCTCTTTTGTTTCTGCATCTCTTTGCCGCAGCAATAAGGATATCGTGCAACGGAGACGGCAGTGCGAGTTCACCGTGGAGAACGGCCGTAGAGTCGACTCTTTGTCTGTATGCTGCATTTTCGGTAAAGCTTTTCTACACTAGGAGGCTCAGCTCGTCTTCCGCTTGTGTGCAAGCAGGCAGGTTTGTGAAACAGCTCATGCAGTTTTGCTGGTGAGTTCGTCTCCTCGGCCATTCCATGGTTTGTGTTCCCATGTTTTGTCATACTGTATTTCCCCTGCCTGAACGTACGGCGGCTGGCTATGGCTATGTCGGAAACTTCAGAGCTGCATTTCCCCTGCCTTGACGTATGGACGCTGGCTATGGCTATGTCAGAGATTTCTTTCTTAAAGAGGCATACATGCTATCGAGTGTCATCCTCCTCGTAGGTGATACTTTCCTTAACAAGGAAACTTCTTCTATTTCCTAAAATAGTCTCTACAGAGTTTGCACCAGGAAGCATAGGAAGAGATGAAGCAAAAGGGGTATGCAGGACGCACCGTGGGATTTGTGTTTCTATAGCAGTTGCTGCATTCACGTCTTTCGTGTGCACAATGTTCATGTATGTGGTCTACCAGCCAGTCCATAAGTTTTTCGAATGTTGAGTAGTGGAGTGAGGCCAAATGTATATCCTTCGTGGGATACGATGCCATGGCGACCAGGGCATCATGTTTAGAAGCCGGCAATGGCAGTAATCTCCTCGCTCCTATGTACGATTGTGCGAGTACGTTATGAGAATATGTACATTGCAGCGGTGCTGTTGCATAAAATAAGCGGATTGTCCTATAAGGTAATTGATTGTGTCCAGTGAGGGTTGAGCAAATGAATGGAGAGCATATCATCGCAATCGGTAAGGTGTAATCGTCATAATGCGGGGGCATTGGAGCAGAGGAAGGGAGCGACGGACCAAAGGTCCTTGATCAGTGGTGAAGCGACAAACCAAAGGTCGCTTCAATAAGATGGTATGTCGTGGACGTGTCTCCTCGATCAAAATGTCCCCGCGGAAGAATCACTTGTTGTGATTGTGAGCTCATTTTGATGGCGCTGGATGGACGCTAGGTGAGGGTGGGGAAGAACTTGAAATGATTGTGGTTAGCTTCGATGTATTTGAGGCCCACATGTTGTGGTGGAGAGGTGTAGGGTTACGGAGACTGGCCCTGCAAGGGAATTGGTGTCGTTTTTTTTTTTGGGAAGAAGGGGGAGGAGCACTGCCTATTCTTCCGGCGCACGTGAAAAGGACCGGAGCAATGGCGAAGTCGTTGTGATGAAGGGGATGCTGCAGCATCTTATTGAAGATGTCCATGTGCGAATCGGTGCTATGGATGGGTTCTGACAAGCAGCGAAACCTCTGTGAAAAACTGTCTATGACGAAAAGGTATGTGCTTCAAATGAATCCAGTCCTGTGGGCTCAAGCTGCTTTCTTTCTGGATGCGAGTCTTTTCCTTTGGAAATAGGTGAGGATCTCAAGATCGTGGATCGCATTCGGATGCAATTCTTTTGTATCGATGTGAAAAGGAGGCAGCGTGCGGCAGTTGTGATTGTGAATGTCATGTAGATCTGTAAAGTGGAACTGCACTATGGTAAAGTCTGCAAGTCGGACGTTACGAGGTGATTCTACTCGTATATTCTTTTGGTTATGGGTGAAGAGGGGTTCCAAATGTGGCAGAGGGGATGGTGGCATGGTTGGTGGGCTTTTCGAGATAGTTTTGTCACCTCCAGTTTGTACGATGTTATTGCGAAGAAAGTAAAGTACTGAGCATTTGACCATCGGGAAGAGGTTCGGTGATTACACTTTCTGGAGGAGAAGAAGATCTAGCAACCGGGAATGGCCTGGCTTGGAAATGCCGGAGGGAGTGATGGCCATGCATCTCTGGGCTATTTTTGTTGCATATCTGTCGATAACCGTGACGGCTTGCTTGTGTGTTCGTCGTTGGAGCTTCTGTATAGGTCAGGTCGTCCGGATCGGGTCACGTAAGTGTAAAGTGGAGATCGGAACCACGCATTTGTAACGTGTCTTCTTGTCCCTCTTCCTCAAGGTTCTCTGTTGAGGAGTAGTGTACAAGGCCATGGATGTTGACAGTGGTCTGTCTGTGTATGTGGGGGGGGGTTGGGATGTGTTGTGGGGGTATAAGGATGGGAGATACGGGGGATCATGAGAGAGGTTGAAGTGAGG